ACAAAAGATCACGTTTTCTTTCTCGAAAAAGTTACAATAAGCAGAAAAAAACAATGGAAAAGTGATGAGGAAACTTTCTTTGAAAGATCATTGTGAAAAATTTCGAATCCGATTCTCTTCCCTTTCGACTGACATTCGGGATGAAAGCCAAAAAAGAGAATTATTTATTTTCAGTTTCTTTCACAAATGAATATACTTTTTTGTTAAATCTGTCAGACTCGGAATGATTAGAAAAAGTTAACATAACTTTTCACAACTATATTTTCTCATATTCCAAAAACTGATCTCATTAATTTTATGAAAATCAGACTGTATAAAACTTCATCAAGTGTTCCTTAGTGTCGATCAGTTACTCTTCAAAAAATATTCTTATTTTATCAATCAACTCAAATCAATATTTCTCAACTTGAATTCAATTTTCAAGAGTATTGACGACATTCTGTTAATTTTCTTTCTTTGAAAAATAGTTGAAGCAACAAGTTGCATTGAATCGAATTTAAATGAATATCGTTCAGAAATTAAGAATAATAACAGATTTAGTTTTTATCGAGATTTAACAGTCATTTCAACCTTCTTCAACTATTTTCAACAATTAGTCATTCGAAAAAAAGAAAGTCGTTCGATGATGGCAAGATAAAGAGAAATTTTGATCTTTAATTCGAAGATTCAAATGTTAATCATTATTCAATAGCAATAAACAGGTTTTTCATCATTCGAACTATCAAGGCATTATTCAATATAAAAAATAGAGTTGAACTGTTCTTTTTTTTTCTATTCCAATGAAAGTTCTATACTTCGAATATCGGTTTTCATCGACATGTATCGATCCAATGTAGATGGATGGAAATTGTGTGTTGTTTCAGCACCATTACTATGGATTGCAAATCTGAATGTCAATTCAAAATAAACACATAATGGTGTTACTGTTGCTGGAGGAAATAAACAAGGTAGTGAAATGAATCAGCTATCCTGTACATTTGGTTTGTGTGTCGATGATAATCAAACTCTCTACATTGCTGATAGCTCGAATCATCGTATTGTGAAATGAAAATTTGATGCGGCGTTTAGTTGAGTTGTAGCTGATGAAAATAGACTAGAAAATTGTACTAATCAGTAGAAAGATCCATTAGATGTAATTATTGATAAAGTGATAGTCTCCCCAGTGAAAAATGTTTCAAAAAAAAAACGGTAGAGAACACGTTTCGAGAAGTAAAATAATTTTTTTAAGAAAAAAAAGGTTTTTTCGGAAATTGGAAACCGTTCTGAACTGAAACGATGAAGGACGAGTTCTGTTTTTCGGAAGCACTTTTTCAGAACGCGTTCTTTGGCCTTTTGTTGTCAAACGAAGAATAAAGGATTACAATTTGCGCACATTATTCGCACCCAATCTGATCGGAATATAGCTATCTACCGACTTACAAGGGAACTTTGCCAGGTTCCCATTCACTTTTGAGTCGAGGCTTTGCCCATCTTGTAGACCTTGATCAATTATGTCTACCATAAAAATAGTTCGTGCTTCTAGTTTGTTTCTGAAAAGATCGAATGTTTTTACTATCACAGTCATAAGAAGCACCCTATAAGAAAAAAATGACTATTTCAGCCAATATAAATCGAAACGAGCTGATATTTTCTCTATATATAGTGGTACTCATGTGGTAGAAAATGTGAAAGTTTGAGCCCAAATGACCTTGGAAAGACGAGCTATCGCAAACATTAACGTGATTTTTAATGTCATTAATTATACAGCTTCTTAAAATTACAAGAGATACGATTGGAACTGTTAGAATAGTAAGAACTAATGTCGTAATACTATTTTTCATGGTTCTTTCGATATGTAACGTTCTCAGTACATGTTGGTAATATCAAGATAGAAGAAAAAAAAAATAAAGTATAGTAACAAGCTATAATTATCAAGTATCTGGAATGATATTAGGACATTGGTGCTCACCATTCTAACAGTTCTAATTGTATCTCTTGTGATTTTAAGAAGCTGTATAATTAATGACATTAAAAATCACGTTAACATTTGCAATAACTTGTCTTTCCAAGGTCGTTTGGGCTCAAACTTTCACATTTTCTACCATATGAGTATCACTATACATAAAGGAAATCTCAGCTCGTTTCGATTTATATTGGGTGAAATAGTAATTTTTTTTTTCTTATAGGATACTTCTTATGACTGTGATAGTAAAAACGTTCGATCTTCTCAGAAACAAACTAGGAGCACGGACTTGTTTTATGATAGACATAATTGATCAAGGTCTATAAGATGCACAAAGTCTCGACTAAAAAACGAATGAACATCTGGAAATGTTCTCTTGTTAGGTATCTATCTACCTATCCTATCCCATCTAGGGTGTGAGTGTGCGTGAAGAGAATATCCATACTCACACGTCACACTCCATCCGACATTCATTAGTCGTAAAACTCACAGTACCGAAATCGGAAATATGCATGAATCTAAAATTCGAGACTTCTTGGTCCGAGAAGCCATAGTTCTATGACCCGAGAATCCTTAATAGTATGTCAACTACCCTATCAGATTCTGTGTGAAGGAGAGCTCCACTTTTCTCGCTATTCACCACAGCATCCATCGCTGATTGTGTCTCTGAAAAAATTCGAAGATATCAAATCAATAGAAACGAAAATAAAATGAACTCAACGCGAGATAGAGCATGGTTTTAAAAATGTGTTTCAGACAGAAAACAGAGACAAAAAGGATTTAATTACCGATTGCAGACCCCAGATTGCAGGTCTAGGGAATATTGTGAAATACATTGCACTTTAGATATTAGATAGCTTTTTATTCTCATTTATTTATTAAAAAAGACTTATTATTTGTTATTCGCACAGCTGAATTGAAAGTTTGGAGAGCTTGTTTAAAAACAGAACACATATGAATAGGTTCCAGATAATATGGGGAAAAAAACACTGAGTCAATTATGGTCACATTGTTGGTTGGATTTCTACAGTGCCGATGGAATTCAATATCGGAATATTGATAACCGGTGTATTGGGTTCGACAAGAATTACATTGGCATCGGTTGGATCAACTTTCCACTTGAGATATTTATTAACAACTACCCTGTAACTTGCCTGTGGATAATTCAGAAAAGGTACATAGATTTCTGTGGGCTTATTGATTGTTTTATCAATAAAATAGGATAATGAAAAGATTCGTTTATCGGCACGATATATCATGGAAATAGGTCTACCAGCAATAGCACGAGCATAAACGCGTGACAAGCGTTTGATCAAAGCCGTACTAGCGTAACTATTGCCCCAGTAAATCCACGATTGACGAAATCTATCGGCGTCAAGCATACCCGCTTCGAGTTGATTATCACAGACGGGTGAACCATCACATCCGCCGAATTCTGTCAGAAAGCCAGAGCCACCCAATCGATTAATTTCTTTCTTAAATGAATATTTATGAATGTCGATGATATAAATAAAAAATAGTCGAAAACAAAATATTAATTACTTCTACTGAACGAAAAACAGCTGGTCCTTCGATGTCATTGCAGAGCACTCGGTCCAACATGGGTATATTTTCATTTCCTGGAACGGGATTAATCGCTAAGGCGGTACAGTAATAATGATAAGAAAGAACACTTCGATTTTGATAATCTTTGCCGCCTGGCACATGAGAAAATCCGCTGCCAAAAATTTGGTCACTGTGCCGTTCTTGAAATAAGAATTTTATTATTTAGATGTGAAAATAACAAACTATTTAACGATTCACTTACCACTAAAAGTGATCGGTTCGTAGAAGATGAGTGTCTTCGTGTCGACGGTTCGAATAGCACTGACAAGTTTGTCATAGAACGGTAACAAATTTTTCGAACCAGCAACACCGGGCAAAAGTAAACTTGGATGGTCGATATAATTTCCAACCCAAGGTTCATTGATTAACTCATATCTATTCGTTTTTTATTTCATTGAAAGATGAATAGAGAGATAAGAATCTGAATACGTACCCAAGTACATTCGTGTAATGACCAAATGTCGTAGCTATTAAACGCCAAAAGTCACTCATCGACTCAACAGCACCAGCTACATTGTCATACAAACATTGAAATGCATGCGAACAAGCTTCTGTCACATAACTATAGAGTAAGAAAAAAAAGACAATTGATTTTTACTGCACTTTTCACACTTCAATGTTGATATACCCTAAAGCCCAATTATTACCCAATGAAGATGATTGGAGTGGAAAAGGATCTACAATTGAAATTATTTGACATAAATAAAAGCACAAAAGAAAAATTATCATCGAACTATTTACAAGGATGCTTCGAAGGCGGAAATCGATTGTACAACCATAATGGAATGCCATCATAGGTTCCAAATCGACTACTCAATACATCTTGATGTAAATCGAATAAAACATAGATATTATTTGATTCAAGTAATTCAACAATTTGTTTCATTATATTCAAATAGGTTACGTTATATTGTTGAGGTTGTGGTTCAACGCCAGCCCACATTATTCTATATATAGAGAAAAGTGAAGAATCGTACATATACAATAAAAGATAACATATAAATCATATAGATATTCACCCAAGTCGAACAACGTTTAAACCCCATTGATGCAAGTTAGCAACAAAAGCAGGGTCAAGTAATTCGGATGGATACCATGGGAATCCTTTCTGTACAAAATTGACACCATGATAGAAACGTACACGCTTTGCTTCATCAACGATGTATGTATTCCTGGCATGCACATCAGCCGAACCATAGCATGTAATGATGAGCAAGAAACAAATGACAAATACAACCAGCAATTTCATCTACAAAGAGCATAAAGTTACAGTATGTTTAAGCGTATGCTTCGATAATCAAATACGTTGTTAGCAATGAGAAGACCAAATATCCAACAAAACACTTTTTTGTTCGCTACCTGAAAAGTAATATACAATCGAATGAAGAACTGCTATTATATACGTAGCAAAATGAGTATTGTTTCGATAAGTGTTTTATTGTTTTTTTTAATGGCCACTTCATCATTTTAATCGTACTGACATCTGAAACGGTCAAAATATGTCCTAGGGATTCGATAAAAATCATTTCAATGACACGACCTTTCTTATGACTAAGAGAAAATATATATTTATTGATGCTTCTCAACTTTAGATAAAGTGAAGGATCGAAGATCTATAAATTTTTATGGTATCAGAAAGAAGAAAGTTACTTTATTTTTTTACTTTCGTACCTTAATCTGAATCAAACTATAAAATATCGCCACTTCAAAGAAAATGATATATCGCTACTCTTTTGACTTTTATAGTATCAACAGATAAGACTTTATTTCGTTTCTATACGTTGGCAAACTTTACCTCGATCAAGGATAAAAAGAATATAGAACAAAATGTCGATGTGATCAGCTAATTTTGCTGGAAGCCAAATGTTTTCAGTCGAACACTCTGACACTGTGTTCCACTATGGATACTTTTGTCCCTGAATTTTTAAGCTAGTTGTGCTTGATCTTCTTGTTTCATTGGTGTCTTCTGTACATTTCTTGTCGTTCACGCTGTTGTCAATTTCATATGAACGATTTGACTTTACTACTAAGGACTCAATGACTAACGAGTGTTCACTATCACTCGGGTAGTCTCAAAGACGAAGCTATGCTCGTTTAATAACACAATTTTATATAAAATATATTTATTTTCTAATCCGATTTACATATGCTGGCAAATAAAAAAATCATGTCATGAAAATATTTATACGCTAATAGTATAGGCATGTGAAGCAGATACGAATCAATCGCCATTTCTCTTCTGGTAGTTAGAATTACTTGTCTTTTGTTATAGACTATAAAGTAGTTTTTTCTTCTTTTTTTTTGTATATAGTTCGATTAGTTGGACGAAATGGTTGTTAGATGACAATATAATATTTCATCATTGGCTTGTAGTGTTTGAGTAGAGTTGTTACATATCCCTTGATTCGATGGATGCAGTCAGCAGAAGTTTATGATGGTAATCCTAATGCTGTACACAGTGCTTTATTCTGTGTGACCTGTAAGCGCTGCCGCACTTTTTCGTTGGCTGTTAAAAGAATGGGATGATAGTATGTGAGGATCGACCGAACAAGTGATTTGAAGAGGTTCGCCATTATGTGCTCGTTTGCGTTTGTCGTTGATGGCAATGGAAAACGGAGAAGTCCGATGCGAGGTACTACTTTTGGATTCTATATTTTTATATGTGCTCTTTATTGTTACTGGATGTTTGTATTTTTGTCTCGGATGTGAACTGAAGTATATCATTTCGGTCTTCATTGGTTGAATCGTGAATTTCCACGTAGCACATCAGTATTGGAATTCATCGGCAGACTGTTGCACACGGAGAGACAAATTAGTTATAATGTTCGAGGTAGTCCAGAGAACGGTATTATCAGCAAAGAGCCCATGTTCTGTGTGATTGGCGATGCTACTCATCAAATCGGCAGTGTAGATAATATAGAGTAGCGGCGACAGAGGAGAATCATGTGGAGTTCTACTCCTTAGTATGAATAGTCTCGATCGGGCGGGTATGGATGTGGGTCTCTTCAGACCACACCCACATCCATACCCTTTGTTAGCCGTATGGTCGAACGAAACAGAAATGGTTTATTACTGACATCACAACTGAATTATCGATCGTCCATGTTGAGCAATACGGAAGAAATTAAAATGCAAGAGAATCAAAGAAAAAAATAGGATGCTTTGGTCATAATACAATCCTATTTTCTTGTCGAAGTTATTAAATGATTTAGTATTATTCAACAACAACATGTTTGTAAGTATGACTCATATTATTTTAAGTTCGTCTGTCGGCAAATCTATTACGGTAACAGATGTTGTTGTATCAATTATATTTCTCTGAAAAATATCATAAAAGAGACTTTTAAACGAAAGTTTAATCAAAATTTCTGTGCTTTCATCAAAACTTGATACATGTAAGAAGCAACATCATGCATTCGATTTGTTACAAGTCAATGTGTAAGTCGAATGGCTGAGCCATCGCCACCACGCCACAGAAAAAAGATACTTGGCTTTTGAAAATTTTGAATGTTCGAAATCCATTTTCGAGTATGTTCGGTTTACAGAAAAGATATTTTGTGATTTAAAATTGATCAAAATAAAATGAAATCTATTTTTGGAGATGAAAATCAGTCTTTAATCGACTCAGTCAAAAAATGACCAATTTTAACTTTTTTATCGGTATTTTTTTATATATAACCAGGTATATTTGGATACAGTAACTCTAAGTATAGTATGCATATCAAAGAATTGCCTAGCATTGCATTTTTCATTTGTATGAAGCTGAGGAGTTCAAAAGACTATTTAAAAAATTGAGTTTCTAAATTAAAACTCCAAAAAAATGCATTTGGCGACTACCTTGTTTAAAATCGATAAGAAATTGAATAATCTGATTTAAAGTAGGCTCAAATCAGATTTTTTTTCATATGGCTTGTTCACTTTTTCAATCAATTATCTATTAGTACTTTCTATCCTTTTCATTTCAAAATTTCTCGAAGGCAAGAGAATTTTAAAAAAGTAATCGAAAACGTCTAGCCGCCATCAAAAGCAAAAAAAATCATTTTTTTTGCAGTTGTCGCCGCCAAGTATAAAAAGAATTAAAATTTGTCAACTACCGTTGTTGATCAACTCATCGACTTATACATTAAGTTACAAGACAGACGAACGGAAGAGCATTATCATTAAAAATACCGCTCAATGTTCACAAACATATTTTATTTTATCATTTGATATTGATTAAATAACATGTAAACATAAAAACAAGCAAATGAAAATTCATTAACTATTTGCTACGTCATCTATATACTGATGAAGAATAGGGAGTACTAAAGAAATATATGATAAATGAATTTCAAACCATTGACCAACGAATTATTGCTTCATCTTTTGGAATTTCTTCGTACTACTCATCTTATTCATGCATTTCATGGTCTCAATTCTCGATTTGATTCTCTTCTTTATCGTCATTTCGTCGCTAACGGTATTGATTTTGTTACAATCTGTTGAGAATATCTTCCAAATGTTAATCGATAGAGTACCTTCGTTGCATCTATCAGAGAAGAACGGTTCTTTTTGGCTACTTAATCAATTAGATACTCATGGGTTTACACTTGACAAATTCGTTCGATCAAAAACACTTTCATTAAGCTATTTTTCGTCTACACAGTTAAGAAACAAAATCATTTTAACATTACCTCACTTAATCAATCTCACTCATTGCTATTTTGACAATACTTATTCGTGTCTAATGGGTGCTATCCGCTCTATGAAGCCAACCGTGACATCAACAAGCATTAAATATCTGTCGATTTTGGGTCTTAATGATTACTCTATGAATCTGACTGATGTATATGAAAATATACCAAATCTTCAACACTTATCGATATCCTTTTCCTTAAAGTGTCCTCACAAATTTCTAACATCAACTGTTCTATCAATAACTTCTTTCGATTTATTGCTAAGCTTTTGTCAACGTGATTTAGCTGAGATGTTACAATGAATGGCTAATTTATGTCGATTGAAAGTGGACTGTGGTCATTACATCGATGGATACGAATGTGAAAACATCATTTCAAATAATTTACTCAAACTAAAAAGACTTCATTTTAGAATGACAGGTTGCTTTGAAGAAAGTGCAATGATCGAAGAATATGTTGATGAATTACTCAATACATTTCGAACTCCATTTTGGCTCGATGAATGTGACTGGTTTGTTAGATGTGATTGGAATCTAACGAACAGACATATTCTTCTGTATACTTTACCATATACTTTTGACTATTTTTGTATTTTCAATTTAAAAATCGGAAAATCAACTTATCCTCAAAAGAAGAACCAATGGTCATACGATACTGTATGTCAGTTAAGATATTATGTTAAGTCAGCGAAGTATTCCCAACTATCATCTGATATTCAATTTTCCAAAGTAGAATCACTGAAAATAAGATTTTCTATTAGTGATTATTTCTGGTCAATGGTTCCGACATTCGATCATTTGACTTCATGCAAAATAATATCGGATGATACTAATGAAGAATGTAAAAAACAACTTCAACTTTTGCTTTCCCGTGCATCGCATCTATCGTCCTTCGGCTTTTCGAAGTTTTCTCTAGATAATTCTATAGAAAACTTACCGTTAGAAATCAAGAATGCATCAATAAAAAGACTCGATCTGCGAAGACTGCATGGATAGATCGTACGATGAAGAGTAATGTATGAGATTCACTCATTTACGTCTTACTATGCAACGTAAAGAACTTCATATTTCTGTGAAAAACCGAATATCAACATGTTATCTACTTAAAATCATGCATAATTTGCGATTATTATATGTGAAATGCGAAGAGAATGAGCAAAAGCAATATCCCATAGAAAATAACAAACAAGATCAAAATTCAACAGAAGATAAACTTGTAAACTGGTTAGAACAACAATTGTCAGGTGTACGATCATTAGTTGAAGTCTTTGATTGTCATGGCACTATTATATTGAGAATTTCTTAAAACGATTTTTACTTAACAACATCAACAGAGAATCAATAAACTAGGGTGTGGGTTCTCTTTAGTGTCGCCTACACCTGCACGTACACACCCACATCTTCAGCATCATCCCTAAGCTAAAATTTAAAAAAACAATTTTCACAAGGAGATGCGAATCCTGAAGATGTGATTAGAGATAGTATTTCTTGTAGAGATAAAGGCTAATATCAGATATGTGTAATATATGAGTAGGGTGAAAATGCTTGTATATATAACATCTCTGTGGAGATCTCTGAGATCTCCAATTTCCTGGATCTGTGGCACTGCTGTAACAAAAGTGTATTCCGTTCAATTTTGTATATGGTAGTATATTTTTGAAATTTTTTCTGTTTTTCGATGATGGCAAAACCGATCAAATATAATAAACGTGTCTTAAACTTTTGTCTGCTGGACAAAAACAATTTCTGCCATCCAAACAGTATCAGTTCACTGTTATTGTTTTCGATGTAGTAGATTGGTAATTTGTTCCAAGAGCTATCGAAATCAGTATTTCGATGTCAATTATCAGCGATCTTTGATGAAAAAAAAGTGGAAAAAAAAGTACACAAAAATGTTGTTTTTACTTTATTTCCAGCTACGTATAAACATTAAGATTACATGTTGTAATTAATTAAATGTATAGAAGAGACTTTTTTATTATATTCAAGTTATCAAGTTGTCAGGAAAAATCCGATTACGTATTTATCTTCTAATATAACGGATCTTTTATAATCAGTGAAGAAATTCTGATGACAAGCATTGAAAATATAATAAACAAGTTAAATTAAATTGCATAGTAGTAGTTATATCTTATGAAATTCAAATCATTTGTTGATCAGATTGATTGAAATTCTGAAGATTGCGAACAGCTTACGCCTATTATTATGTAAATGTAACGGGAAATATTGTAACAAATAAAAAGAAAAAAAAATGTTATCATTTTTTCGAATCACTTCAATATGATAGAAAAAAGAACCTGTTCATCCTTCCCTACAGAATATACTGAGTTAAGGGTACCCGAAAAAGTATCGTGTTACCAATATGTCATAGAAACTTTTGGGTTCTAAAGTACTTATAGGTACTTTCAAGTATCTAAGTGGTACTTTAGCAGGTACCCTGTTACCAAAATTTGAGTATGTTCAGGATCGAACCTGGCCTTCCATTTTTTGCATTTTTTTTCTCTCAAAGCGATGTATTACATTTTTTTTCGATTTGATTATATTTAATTTTTTCAATTCCGAAAACTCAACAGGTCAAATATCGAGATGTGACTGAACTTGAGTCGGTCGAGTATTCATGAGACCACCTCACGATAGTCCGCTCTTAATCTACGATCAAGATCCAAAATTTCTCGACTAATAAATAGTCAAGAAATAGTGAAAAAATAATCTAGAAAAAATTAGTATGAAAATAGATTAATTTCTTCTGTTTTGCTCAGTTGTTTATACGGAGCCGTGCGCGAAAAAGAAAACGGTGAATGAACAGTCGCTACGCAGAACGCGACAAATGTAGGATACCCTATAGAATTTTTCTCAGTAAAATTACAGATGCTGGTATCCATACCAGTACTTGCTCAGTAAGCGTACTTTTATGGATTTTCCTTGCAGTACCTGCATCAGTATAATTACTGAGAATTTTCGAAGTACCCATATTAGGTACTCTGTTAAGGCTTTCCCACTACATGAATACCCTGAACTCAGTACTTTCTCTAGGGTTTGTATAGTTATAGAATATATACAAGATACATTGTGCTGATTATAATTGAATTCTGTTTTTTATAAATAGAATCATCAACGTTGATAATACATAATGACAATAATAATGAATTAGCCATTTCATTTCTCTTTCTATTTTATCAGAATTAATCTCTCACAGTAGTCATTATGTCAAAGATAATACTCTTGGCGTGGCATACATGGCGATTGAAAAGTAAATCCCCATTTCAAATCCTTTATTATTCTTTAAAAAGAAGAGATATTATAATGTTTTTTTTTACCGTTTTGAAGCATACTCGATGCCATTTTGTTCTAGATGAAACAAGACAATTGACCGTTTGACTACCCAAGATCAAGCACGAACTTTACCTAGAGAATGCTGAAAATAACTCATTATTTCGAATAGGTTTTTACTCTAATACGAAGACAGATACTATAACAACTTTTTACCGTTTGGAAGTGTACACAATACTATGACATATGGTATCTCAAAAATGCTACATAGATCGAGAGTGAGGGTGCGTCTATCTAGAACATTGTTATAGTAACAGTTCTCCCACAAGAATAATAAACTAATAAAAATCATGAGTTATTTTCACCGTTCTCTAGATAAAGTTCTTTCTTGATTTTGGATAGTTAAACGATCAATGGTCTTGTTTCGTCTAGAACAAAATGGCATCGAACATACTTCCAAACGGTAAAAAAAATATTACGATATCTCTTCTTTTTAAAGAATAATAAAGGATTTAAAATAGAGATTTACTTTTCAATCACTTGCATTTTCAGAACAATTTTCTTTCCAGAATACAAAATCTTTCATAGAAAATAATTGCAGGTAAAAAAAAGATGAATTGTACATCTCTAACTTGGTCGTTAAGCTCAATCGAAAATCGCAGTTTTATTATTATTGTTTGTTCAATTGCTGTTTTGATTCATACTATCTTTTGGATTCAAGTTATACTATTTTCATCATTAAGACAAAGAAATATGATGTGGTTATATGCATATTTAATAACAGATTTTTTTCTTCTAGTTCGATTTTTTATTGTCTATTGTATACGATATTGGAGTGTTTGTTTATATTCAACATTTCAATTGATCATATGTTATTTTGAAGCAACATTCACATTTTATATTAACACAGTACAAAGTTATATTTTGCTAGCATTTAATGCATGTCGTTGTGCACAAATAATATTTAATCGAAATGTTTTTATAAGAAATCCTCATTTGATTATTTTAACTCATTTTTTGATTTATATTTTACCAGCACTTATTATCACAATACAAATTCTAGGTAATTGGACTGTATTATTGCGTAGCACAGGCGAGCCTTGTGATATAGTATATATTTCCTTAACGGTAGAGATATTTAATCTATTCATCATATATATTATTCCAGTTGCCTTGAATACTATTATCATCGCATTTTGTATTCGTCATGTAAGTTCAATAAGAGGTATTCGTAGTCAACAAATTATTAATCTTCGTCGTAAACATAAAAAAACTCTTTTAATTCAAACAATAATATTTTATTCAATATGGCTTGTATTATGGAGTCCAAATATGCTGGCTTTTCAATTTATTAATGTTAATACTCAACTTGGCATTTATATTTCTTTGCTTAATTATATAGAAATAACAATAGATCCAATTTTTGTCGCTGTACTCGACATTCGTTATTTTCAATCATGGAAAAAAATATGGCGTAATATAAAAAGATATCGACAAAGAGCTGTTGTTGCAGCGTTGTAAGTTGCTACTGAACGCATACATTGACAGTATTATGTTCATCATATGTCATCATTATCCTAAGATTTTTTTAATATATAAATCAGTTTTTTTTCTGCCATACATATGATGCTTATCTATTGATTTCTTGTAGATTGGAATAAGTTCATTACTGATATGAATGAAATGGACGTTTTTGACAAATATGATGTCTTCCTTCTTAAAGTCACTTAATTAATTATTGAGAATATTTTTGATCTTACGTTAAAACTTAGACGAAATTGTACGAAATAATCATACGAGCGGGTGTGGGTGTGGATGTGTACATTGATCTTTCACACACTCATACCCACCCACACCCACCACTCAAGCACAAGAAATCTACGTCTACACCCCACATTCATCTATGGCCGTCAATGATTTACTTTCTTGATCAGGAGAGAAACTTGGACATGTCTCTCAATAGAAAAAAATATCAGTAAAGCTGTTTTTCTCAATAAGGAACTGAATATTTTCATGTATAATGTCAATACTGTGTTATTAATCATATTTCAAGCTCATTCAAGTACAAAATTTTGGCGTTCACAATTTGTTACAATCAACTTCAATTAATTTTCTGTATTGACCATTAATTTCACTCCTTGCAATACGTCTAATTGTCATTGCTATTGCTTTAAAGGTGTGAGTGTGAATGGTTGTGAATTTAGGTTGGGTGTGGATTTGGATGTAGCTGTGAGTGTGGGAGTTGCGGGTGTCGGTGTGTTAGTTTGGAAAAATACAACAAGCACATCCACACCCACACTCCATGAGAGATGCACCAAGCCCTGATTTTTCATAGTTAAGCTCGTTCATTTGCGATGCTTGGAATCGTGAACTCCAATCAAAATTGAATATATCTCATTCAAAGAATTGACTGGAGTTGACGGTTCTAAGTATCGTCAATGAGCGATCTTTAATGGGGAAAATCAGGAATTGGTGTATCTCTACACCTCACACTTACACTCCCTCTTAGAAAATCCAATTTTTCGAACAAATATCGCAGTTGAGTTTTCATCATAGGGAGATGCACCACAGCTTCCTCTTCTAGAATATATCTAATTTTTCGCAAAATGACTAGATTGTCACAGACTTATTAGAAGAAACTTCTACCTTATCATCATGTTTTCGAAGAAATTTTCATGGTTTTTTAAACTTTTTCTGTTGCGGAAAAACTGCGTCGTCACTGGTATCAACATTGAATAGAACATTTTTATATTAACCAGCATAACAGATGGTATTAGCTATCTTCATCTGTTACGTGCTTTAAAACAGTCCACTGAAATGTATTTTAAATATGCAATTGTAAAATGATTTCTGGTTTTGAATGAAAAAATCTATGTCCAAAACTTCTTTGGTGTTTTTCTCAAAACATAGTTTCCAGGTAGGAAAATTCAAATAACCCCCACTCGGCTCAGGGTATAATTGATGTTTTTTTTTGTTTTAAAGGTCCGAATGAGAGCTAACTTTCTATCGGACGGTTTTTTGATACTTGATTCCTGAACTGAGAAAAGTGGAATTTACTGTTGATTGAGTCACCTCTTTTATGCTTATTCTGAACATCATGTCCATTAAAATGCTCATAAAAAATAAATGAAAGGGAGTTTCAAAATTCCGTCAGATGAAAAGTTGCGCACAGAGACTAGCTTTCTACCCGAACGGTCCGTTCTAAGTCGTAGATCAATTTTGAGGAGGCTTCCTTAATTATATATTAAAATATAGTAGTCAACAATATTATAAGATAATAGTATTTTTTCATTTTTTTCTACTATGCAATATATATACTTCAAACTTAAATAGTGATTTGATTTGGTCAGTCCATGAGGTCCTCTATCTGAATACATTCTACGTCATATTTTATAGATGAACTAGCAAGGAAACGTTTTCAAGTGATAAGTCTCTTTTGAAGTTGAACTCAGCGCATAAGATAGAGTCTAGTACGACATAAAATATCTCACAAGGGTAAATGCTTTTGATCCTTCTCTTCAGAGTTATAAGTATTTGAATAAAATTTTAGTACTTGGTTTTGCTTCGAAGAGTTTCTTATTACGCTCTGCAGTGCTTCCAATATATAGTTACACATTTTTTCACAGCAGATCTTGAGATGTACACAACAATGAAAATAAAAAACAAAGAAGAACATCATACAAAGTCTACTAAGTAACTGAGGTAACATTGTGGCCTGATTAGATAAGATGAAGAGAGCTAGAACAAAAAACAAAACAATAAACGAGTGATAATAACCAATAAAGTGAAGTTATATATCGACTGAGATAAGATATGAGCTGGCATTGTTTAATTGTCTTTTGTTCAAATCATTTGCATCAACCAATTCCAACCATATACATCAAAGAGATTCGTGATGCTCTACCATTACTTGTACTCGTTTTTGTTGAAACTAATTATCTAGCTCATCTTTGGGACGCTTTTTAAAATCAGTCCAAAATGATATATCATTCAAAAATATGAGGATGCAAGATCAGATCTATGAATTTTGCTAAGCCTCCTTCGGATGAATTTTTTCACATAATGATCAACCCATGGGATTTCTTTAAGTTACATAGTCCAATCACTGCCACCTAGTGGCAGGGATCTATTAGTTGTAGCCCTGCTCCGAATTTTTGGCCAAGTAGCTTTTGTAGTGTGTCCGGTACAAGAGGCGAAGAGACAGAAGAAAAAACCAGTTGTTAAATTGTACCATCATTTTGTTAATGGTTTTGGTATTTATTTCAATGATTTAAGTTATTTTGAGACTCACCTTCGTAAAGATGTGAAAGTGAACAAATAAAAGTCATACGTAATGGGTCTTTGATGAATGTTAAAGAATGGCAAACAAAAATCACAACTCTTGAACAAAGTTTTCAGTAATTAATACATTAAAAGATCTTGTTGATCGACAATGTCATCAAGCATGAGTCGACCATGATGAACTTCAACGAGAATTAGCTGCTATGCATAGTAAAAAGTATGTTTCTGATAATTTTTTATTCTCAATAAACAAATAACAATTGAATATACTTTCATAGATCGGTAACTGTTGGTGTGAGTATGAGATGTAGGTGTAGGATGCGAGTAAAGAGGAGATCTGAATCCACATCCTTACACCTTGACATTGATTAAGTCTAATGCCAATAATGCCGAAGCATCAATGTTACTGATGAATGGTAAGACAAAAGTATTAGGATTATCAATCAATAATGCTAATGATTATTCTAATGCAACACTCCTATCTGCACTTTCCGCCCATATTGACACTACGTCCGCACTACATCAAATCGATACCTACATTACACCTTAGTTCGACAATACTTTGATGTCATTACTTTCAATTTTTTTTGTTATTTTTTGTTTCCGACATTTTCACTTTCAACCTTTAATCGCCTATTCGCATGTCCTTCAACAACGATATCAATTACTAAAATGAATAACAATCAGCATTTTTTCAAACAAATTATGCTTAATTTTAGCAGTATTTTTATCTGATTCGCTGCTCAAAATTGAAATCCATAAACTTGTTTCATTTTGAAGAACTTTCATAAGAAATCTGGTTGCTCACATAAGGAGTGGACCAGATGTGTTGACTCGATTTGTATAATAAATTTTTCTAAAGTGAAACATGTGTTTGTAAATTTCTTTCTATAATAGAAAGATGCAGTAAAAGACGCTTTACAAAATGGCTATTGATTGAGTGTGCTAGATCATCTAATAGGAAAGTTCTAAGCTTAGAAATATACTTCACAAAAAATAAAAATTAACCA